AAAAAAAAAGGAGGGCAATGGTAGGTCTAGATCAAAGTCTAGAATGCAGGTTAAATATTTTTGTGGGAACATAGGGCATGCTATAAAAAATTGTTATAAGAAAAAGGGTAAGTAAAAGGTTAAAGAAAGAGATGAAGTAAAAGTATTTTCTTCTGCTTTCAATGTTGATGACGATGAAGTTTACTTGATTATAAGTCATGTTGCTTATACTGCTGAACTGAATCTAACTGCTGATTCCCTTATGTATGAGTGGATAATTGATTCTAGTGCATCTTTTCATGTGAAATCTAAAAAGAGTTGGTTTGAAAACTTGCACATGTGCTATGTAATAATTTGGTCTACACTATTGCTGGAATTGGTGACATTAACATAAAGTTTGACATTGACTTTATGTATACCTTGAAAGATGTTAGATATATTCCTGAACTGTCTAGAAATTTAATTTCAATAGGAAGACTTGAAAAAGATGACCTTATCAGAAAAATTGAAAATGAAACATTAAAGATGATTAAGGGTGCACTAGTCTCCATTAAGAAAACTAAAAAAAATGATATTTATATTATTACTGGAGAAGTGATTAGAGGTTTAAACTCCTTTATCTCTTCTGCTAAGGTTGATCACACACATATTAGACATAATAAGCTTGTACATGTAAGCATTAAGGGACTTAAACTTCTTAATGAAAATGATGCATTTGGTAAAGATTGTGTGTCTCATTTGTCATTTTGTGATCACTGTGTGCTGGATAAGCATCATAGAACTTTATCCACAAGTGTTCATAAAGCTAAAGACATATCTGAATATGTTCATTTAGATCTGTGGCGTCTTGCTAGTAATCCCACCTCGGGTGTAAAAATAGGTATTTCCTGTTTATTATTGATGATTACACTATAAATTTGTGAGTTTATCTTTCAAATGATAAATCTGACACTTTTCACAACTTTAATAAATGGAAAAGACAAGTAGAAAATTAAAGTGGCAAAAGGATTAAGTTCTTGATAACAGATAATAGTTTAGAGTTTTGTAACATTGACTTTGACAATGTGTAAAGAAAATGGAATAACAAGGTATAAGACTGTCCCTTACACTCCTAGCAAAACTAGGCAGCAGAAAAGATGAATAGAACTATATTGATAAAGTGCATTGTACGATGTTAAGTTCTGGTGTCCTAAAGTCACTTTGGGGTGAAGCTGTTATGACCGCTTGTTATTTGATTAATTTGACTTTATTTATTGCTTTGAATGGTGATACTCCTCATGAAAAGTAATCTGGTAAACTAAGTTATTATTCTATACTTAGAACCTTAGGTTGTACTGTTTTTTCTCAAAAGAGTGAGAGAAAGCTTGAATCTAGAGCTAGAAAGTATGTTTTCCTAGGGTACTTGAGGGTGTTAAGGATTACCGATTATGGGATAGAAGCCAAAAGGGGGTTAAGATCATTGTGAGTAGAGAAGTCACGTTTAATGAGGGTGAAATGCATTGTCTTAAAGGTGAATATAAACCTATGAACGAAATAGAACAAGGTAAAGAAAGACATCGATTTAAGATGAGTTAGGAAAACTTAGCACATTTGCCCCTGCCACTCCAAATGATGTGGAGACTCGGGTTTAGGAATCTGAAATAGAGAATATAGATGAAGTAGTAATAGAAGAGCACTTTGAGGAAAAAAACCCTTTAGCAAACTACAATTTACTTATGGATAAAGAGAGGACAAACGAGAGAGCCTAGGATATTCAAATATGAATCTGGTCTAACTTTTGCTCACGCTAGTTCTAAGGAGCTAGTTGATGAGAGCCAAAAACCTTTGAGAAGGCGATGAAGAACTAACAATCTGAAGAGTGGTTTAAGACAATAAGAGAAGAGATGAGTTTCTTAGAGAAGAATCAAACTTGGGAGCTAGTTTAAAAGTTATATGAATTGTTTCTCACTATCCACATCGTAAAACATAATATTTTCCAGAAGATGGGTGATTGAGGAAATAATAAGGGCGTCGACATATTTCTATTAAGGTATCAAGATACAGAGTAATAATAGGTTAATAATCGAATAATCAACTGAACAGAAACCTGAAAGCATGAAAATGCGATTGCAGTTATAAAGTAAAAGTTGGCACTCCTAGTACCCTGCAAAACTTCATTGAAGTCAAGATATTTCGCAAGGATTATTATACATAACTTCAAAAGAAAACCCATGCATATGTANCAAATATTCTTTAATAAAATAATATTACACACTAACCCAAAATTTTCTTTAATTTTTAACCATATATTCTCCATCAATCACTGTTTAAAAATGCATTATTTCCCTTAAAATGTGGCTCAAACAAGCATTTCCATTCTTTTTATAGATTGGATTTTTATCTAGCGGGAGGAGAAAATCTCATTTTTTTTTTCCATATTCCTCGTATTTCTCTCAGAGGCCTGAGATTACATGTAAATGTATTTACCCAAAATTATAATAATTTAAATTCACATCAACAAAAATTCAAGTGATCATATATCAAAGAGTATCTGCATTGCATTCAATCTTCTATTTCCATGAATCCACAATTATATCATAATATACTCCATGCATATGTATGTATAATGGTCACAAACGTACCATAGGTTGTGCATCATAAGGCTCAAAAGAGAAACTCCCATATATACACAAAAGAGGAAAAACGAAAATTGCATTTCTGCAAAACAAATAATTTATAAAATATCAGAATCTCATCTGTGAAATAATGTAATAATATTATTGTCTATACTTAAATCTTAGTAGTAGTAATATATTACCTAGTAACTCATTAACAAAAAGTGCCATGAATTACAATACTCAATGCAATTGCAACTTAGATGAACCAGGCATGGATGACATTAACATGGCTAATTATTCGAAAAAAGCAACTCCAAGCCAATTAAAATTTCTATAATTACCACGGAAATTTTTGAAGTGAGCTCAAAAGGTTTTTGCTATCCAAGATGAACAATCAGCAGATCGATTAGGTAAGGAACATCAATAACGCTTGGGTAGTTTCCGTCGTACCAAATCAATATACAAGGAATATTACACCAAGTACTATTCACTAATTTTACATCGCTTTAGCAATATTAGCTAAACAGTAAGAAAAATACAAAATTTTTAGGACTTACAAAACCCAAATTTCTTAGAGAAGAAGTAAGTGCATGCTTTGTATGCAACATATGACCGTACTCGACAAATAATGTGCAAAATTTTAACATTTTATAAACTTCCTTAAAACCATCAATTTTAATCCACATTAACAAAAATATTGTAATTGAGCTAATTAGCTAACGCAATGTTTGCCCATGCTTAAATGTGGCTCTTTTAGCTATTTTTACGAATCGACTTTTAAGCATGGCCAAAAGGGCATCACGTTTATCGGTAAAAACATAAGATTTAGTCCACAAGCAGCTCAACTCATATATTGTACAAATAATCCATATTATTAAGAATGCAAGTCCAACCTTTGACCAAAACATTTACATAATTCATCCTCAACTCACTATATTGAAATTCACCCTCAAAATGTTGCAAGGATATTGACCAATTTCCCGAAACGTCCTTGTGTTTTTCTCTGAATCGATCACAACCCACTTCTTGTACACTTTAAACAAATCCTCAAACGGATATGGGACTGTGGATTTTGACGAAAAGTTTGTTAATAATGAATTTTTGGGTGATAAGATTGCAGAATTAACAGATGGGAACTCGATAAAATTTGTTAGGAAGAGAATTATTAAGTGTCAATCCCAACATTAGTGTAATTGAAAAGTGTTGATAGGGTTTAATTGCACCATAAACTTCGAAAATCTTTTAGAATATCTATCAATTCTTCTTTCTGTATCACTTGGGGGGGGGGAGAGAGAGAGAGAGAGATTGTAATTTTCCTTTCTACAAATTATATAGTGAAACTCGTCGATTACAAATTACAATTTGCTAGCTGTTGGATGGGAATGAGCGACTTCTTATTTTAGAAAGGTAGTGACGTTTTGCTAGGCTTAAAGAACTTTAATTATAAATAAATAAGTACATTTAAAACTAAATAATTTTTTTATTTGTCAAAATTGGCAACAATATCATTTTGGCTAACTTAGAATTTAATTAAATTTACTTTAAAATATTTTTTTGTTTCATTAAAGGAAAATTATGGAAAAATCATGCATACACAACAAAGGAAAGTAAATGATAAAGATCAAGAAACACCTAAAAATTCCAAACGACAAGCAAAAAATCAGCTCATTAAAGTCAGCTAAATCAGTACTAAGTTAGTCAAATAAAGAGATAGAAAAAATAAGCAAAAAGAAACAAAAAATGAAACCCATGATTGATGATGAAAACAATAGAAAAAACAAAGAAATTTCTACAACTAAATCATTATTAAAAAAATCCCTAAATATATAGCCCAAAAAAATCAAAATAATTCTGAGCAAGTCAAAAAAAAAAAAAAAAAAAAAAAAAAAAAAAAAAAAAAATTCCAAATGCCTATTGGCTTTTAAAATTTTAATTTAATTTTGGGCCAAACAAATTTAGAAATTTTCACTTCAGTTTTTTTATTTATCCAATTTTCAAATTTAACTTAAAATTAAAAATTCGCTTCATGAAAAATTAGCACAATAATTTTAAATATTAATTTTTCTAAGCTCAAACGATATCAATTTTAACAAAGCAGATTATTTCAATATATTGATTGTTAATTCTTGAAATGTCGATAGTAAGCGTTTGTTTGAGCTACATTATTTTTAAAAAAAATATATTATTCAACAGTGATTTGACATCATTTCAACGACACATTTTTCAATAAAATAATATTACACGAAAATTTAAAATTTTCCTTACTTTTTAACCACACATGTTCCATTAATTTGACATGAATGATGCAATTTTTCCTTGAATGTAGCTCAAACATGGGCTAATTGTATAGTAATAAATCTAATTAAAAAATTGATTTTTATTCAATTTGAATTAATAGTACGAAAATTTAAAAATATATTGTAGTTATAGTATTTTTTTGTGTGTGTGTATATTTATTTATTACATCTAATTCGACCTCGATTGAACCTTCTAACCCTTGACTCTTAACCATTTCTGGGTCGATGTACGGATTAGTTTTCAAAACATTGCTAATATTCCTATCTTAGAACTTACCTTGAAATACAAGTCCAAGATATCCAAAATCATGCAATAAAAGAAGAAATGGTAATTATATTACCACTACAAATTTTATTAAGTGCACCCCAATTTTCTTATTTACTAAAATATCCTTAAGTAAAATTACATAATTAGAATTTTAATATAATTTTTAATTTAATAAATTATTGTTACACAACAAATATAAAGCCTAAGGGTAATTATATTACCACTACAATTACTAATGCCATGTTTGATAACTCCCTTTTCCATGAAAAAGGGAATTTAAATTCTATTTTCCTTCCATTTGCCTTGTTTGATAGGTAACATTTTCTAGGCAATAGAATTTCCATCTTCCATGGCACATGTTTTCCACCAAATTAACTAATTCATTTTATTGCACGAGGTATGGTTTTTGGTTTTCCAGGCAACTAGCAACCTTTTTTTTTTTTTTTTTTTTTTTTTTGTATAAAA